CAGAATTGGTAAAGTTATTAAAGGTTAACTGCGAAAAGCGGTTTTAAACTACCCGGTACGTACCCCGTTTTACTGCACGGGTAACAATGGGCATACTGCACGACTAATGTTGCTCATAATTATATATAAAATATTTAAAATTAAAAAAATTAATATTAAAATATATAACTTTTTTAAATAATTAATTTAATTATATATATAAATGGAAAAATCTTATAAATTTTTATAAAATTTTATTAATATAATAAAAAAATAAAATAAAAAAAACTTTAATTAATTTAAATAAATTTATTTATAATTATAAAATATATATAATTTTATAATATAAATATAATAAATTAATATTATTATTTTAATTAATTAAATTATTTAATTTAAATAATAAATAAAATAATTTAATTTATTATTTTTTAAAAAAATATAATTAATTATTATTTATTTTATTAAAAATAATAATATTTAATAATTTATAATTATTAAATTTAAAAATTTTATTAAAAATTAATATGTTATTTTTTTTAATTTTTAAATTTAATAAAAGATTTAATAATAATTAATAAAATAAATAATTATTTAAATTATAAAAAAAAAGGTTTAAATTATAAAAAAAAAAGTATAAATATAAAATTTTTTAATTAAAAATTATATTAATTTAATATAATTGGATAAAATCTTTAAAAAATAAATAAAAGAATTTTAAATTTATATTAAAATTATTTTAATTAAATTTTAAAAAAGATTTAAAAATAATTAAAACATTTTAATAAATTTAATTATTTAAAATATAAATAAAAAAATTATATTTAAACCTTTTATTAATTAACTACTTTAAATTTATTAATTAATTATTTTTAAAAAACTTTTAATAAAATATTTTAATTTAAAAAAGAAAATTTAAAATTTATTATTTATTTAAATATTATAAAAAATATAAATTTAATAAATATTAAAAGACGTTTATATATAATTTAAAATTATATAAATAAAATCTTTTATTATATTAAAAAAAAACGGTTAAAAATCTTTTTTTAAATAACTTCGAGAATTTTTAAAAATGATTTTAAAGATTTAAATAATAATAATAATAATTAAAATTTATTTAATCTTTTTTAAAAATTGTTTTATAAATTATTATAATAAAAGTTAAATAAATTTAAATTAAATTTAAAGTTTTAATATAATAATTTAATAAAAAATAAACTTTTATAAATATTAAAAAAGTTTATTAAACTTACTTTTATTATTATTAATTTAATATATTTTAATAAACTTTTTATTTATAATATAATAAAAATTTATTTAAATTTTATATTTAATAGTTAAAACTTAAATTATATTTAAAAATATATATAAAAAACTTTTATAAAAATTATATTTATATTAATTAAATAAAATTATTATTTATTAAAAAAATATAATTATAATATTAATAACGTTTTAATTAAATAAAATAGTTTTATTTTATAAATTAATAAATTAATTATATATTAACTTTAAAAAAACATTTTAAAGACTTTTTAAAAAAATATTATAACTTTAAAAAAATATATAAATTTAAATATTAAAAAAATATAATTTAATATATTATAAAATTTATAAATTTTAATAAAATAGTTTAATAATTTAAAATAATTTTTTAAAACTATATTATTAAAATCTTTTTTAATAAAATTATTAAATTAATTTATTTTAAATAAAAAAAGATTTTAAATATTAACGAAAAATTTTTTATAATAATTTAAAAAACCGGATAAATTTATAAAAATATATTTATTAATTTAAATTTTTTATTAATAAAAAAAAGGTTTATTTTAATATTAAAATATTTAAAATTAAATTAAAATAACCGTAATAAAAAAATTTATTTTAATTTAAATTTAAATTAATCTTTAAAAAAAAAAAATAAATCGAAAATAAATAAAAAATTTAAATTTAATTTTAAAAATTAAAAATAATTATTAAATAAAAAGGTTTTATTTAAAATCGATTAAATAAATATTAATTAATATAAAAAAAAATATATTAATATTATAAATAAAATAATTATAAAACATTATTATATTTTATAAAAAAAAGAGCAACACTAGTTGCGTAGTATGCCCATTGCTAAGTGCGCAGTAAAAGGGGTACATACCCGCCACTTTTTCCCACCTATTTAACGTTTACCTTAATAACTTTACGAATCTTAATCCAATCCTTATATAACTTATACTATAATTTAAATAAGAAAATAAGCAAAATTACAGTCCCAAATGCACGTGATTCGGCCCAAAATTGGTAAAAATATTCAAAATATCCCTATTTATATATACAAAATAATATTTTCAATGGTTTTCATTAATTTTCAATAGCGTATTTTATAATTATAGCTGTATCTTCACGAAATAAATAGGTAAAAATCTGGGATTTATTTTATAATTTTATCTTTTTAATTAATGAAATATTAGGACTTTTTCGGGATTTATCCAAGCTATATTGGTAAAATTATTAAGATTAAAAGGTATAGGATTTACAAGGGATAAAGGCCATTAAAAGGAGCCTTAAAATAGCAACTATAATTTAAATTTATATTTTCAGCCGCATCTGGGTCAATATTAGTCCGAATTACGTGCGGTAGGATTCATAATTTTGCTAATTTCTTTACTTAAATTACGGTATAAATTATATATAAATCGGACCAAAATCCGTAAAGTTATTTAAAAAAGGGTGCGGGAAGTAATTTAAAGCTACTTAAGACTATACCCCGCATACTACGCACCTAACAAACAGCACACTGCGCAACTAATGTTACTTAATTATATTATAATTTTAAAAATAATATAAAATAAAAACGTTATTTTTATTTAAATATATAAAATTTATATTAATTAATTAATTAAATAATAATTTTAATATATTAAATTAAATAAAATATTTTTCCTTTTTTTTTTATTATATATAATATAAAAGAAAATATTATTAAAAAAATATTAAAAAAAAATTTTTTTTTTTTTAATTTTAAAATAATAACGTTACGTTTTATATATTTATTTACGTTAAGTTTTTTATAAGAAAATTTAAATTTAAAAATATTAAATTATTTGTTTTTTAATTATATAAAAAAAAAATAATTTTAAAAAATATAAAATTAAATATTTAAAAATATTTCGATTTTATAAACTTTTAAATTAATAAATTTAATAAAAAGATTAATATTAAAATTATAAAAAAATTATAAATAAAAAAAAAAATTTTAAAAAAAACTTTTAAATTTATAAATTATTAAATTAAAATATTAATATAAAAGGAAATAATTAATATTTTAAAATATATATATATTTTTAAAAAATTAATTTTTTTTAAAATAATAAAAAATTATTTATAATAAAGTTTATATTTAAAACTTAAAATAAATTTAATTTATTAATAATTTTTTAAAGTTTTAAAATTAACAATTATTATTAACACACTTTTATTTTATTATCGGAGTTTATTAATACATTTAATACATTTAAATACATTTTATTTATTTTTAACTTTTATTATATTAATTAACATTAATTATTATACACTCTTTAATTTAATAATATAACATATATGATTTATATCACTATTTTTACCTTAATTAAAGCTTTTTAATAATATAAGTTTTAATTAAATACATATAATATTTTAAAAATTATTTAATTAAATATAAATATACGTGTAACCGTAAAAAAGCTTTTTATAAAACTTTATTTAAAACTTTAAACTTTATTTAACATATTAATAATTATACCATATATAATTTAAAAAATAAATATATAAAATATATATTATTAAAATCGCTTTAATTAAAGTAATTTAATAATATATATATCGATTTAATATAAGTTTTAAATATAAAATTATTTAAATATATATAATAATGGTTACTTTTAAAAAAACCACGTGATATTTTATTACGCGGTCGCATTTACGTTAAATTAAATATACATTTAAATAACTTTTAAAATATTACATACATTTAATTAAAATTTATATCATTAAAAAACTTTAATTAAAGTAAAAACAACGATGTAAATTTTATATATTTTATATGTTATATCGTTAAATTAAATAAATTATAAAAGTTAATATATTAAAATGTAATAAAATTAACTTAATTAAAAATAATTAATAAAAATGTATTTATTATATAAAATGTATTAATAAACCTTTAATAATAAAACGAAAGTGTGTTAATAATAATTGTTTTAAAGTTTTTAATAATCTTTTTATTTTAATTTAAAAAAATTAAAATATTATTTATAAATAATTTTAAAAAATATAACTTTATATTTAATTACTTTTTTAATTATATATTAATTATTTTATATTTTATTTTATATTACCTTATATCGTTTTATAATATATATCATTTAATGATTTTAAAAATAATTATTTTAACCGTTTATTAACTTTTAATTGTATTTATATTTTAACTAACAGGTTTTAACCATGTTGTCCGTGTGACAGTTTAATATTTAAAAGTATCCATTGCACCGTCTTATTAGGCCCTCGCTATCACCCCAAAATACCACTTTCTACCGACGATCCTATCGAGATTCCACAGACATTTATAACAAAGGATATGTCTAATACCTATACATAGCCATGGGCTTCCTTAGTTAGCTTATAATTGCTCACGTAAAAGCGAAGCCGTACCTTGGAGTGTCGAGCCGAGCGGTATATCAAGACATTAAGCCCAGCTCCGACCTAATCCGGTAGTGTCAAGAGCATACCGACGGGGGCGTATTTTTACTATTTAGTAGAGGGTTAATAGTGGTGTGGTCGTGTCAAAAGGCTTTGTCAAGTGCCTTGTTCATGACCAAATATCGTGATAGTACTGTTAGGTTGTTTCTTGACGCCTCATCCAGTTGAAGGCATGGTCAGGAAAACACTGAATAAATAGTGACCGATGACTGCCCAACGGAGTGGAGCTATCAGAATAGTAGGACTTGTTTGGGGTGAGATATGAAGTTGAAGTTGAATTAGGGAAGATGTCTCTGGCAGATTATTGGCTAAGGTAAAGTGTTGTGGTAGAGTTATTAATTTTGAGGTATTAAAGTTGTATTGTGGGAAGTGTAAGTTGTTTTATTCTGTCGGTTACGGCTGTCTGTCAAGATTATGAGGTATGATTGCCATAGGTCTTAGACTCTTACCTTCCGAAACAATTAAGTTCCCAACAGCTCATTAAGTTTGCTGCTTGTTCTGCCTTGGGTGTATCATCGCTATTGCATTATGCCATCTTAATTAAGGGTAAGAGCCTTCCTTGGTGGTTGAGTCACACTTGACTGACGTACTGATGTATTGATTGCTACATGTACATGCCGCTCAACTTACTTCCTAAGGAAGCTACTACTTTACGTACCTCTTAGGCACGTAAGGTACCTATTTTCTGCCTTGCAGGAACAAGTCACCGCCTAGGGCACCGTACTTTTTTTTTCCCCTATATAATTACCTACGCTATCTATTTATCGCATCCCATCTTTTTTCATCTCGATCTACGATCTCCTATTCATACCAGAAAAACCCAATAACAGAAAACAAGGCAGCAGAACGCGCAGAAAGCTAGAGAAGCCAAGGCGAAGAAAACAGCAGTGACGACACAGAAAGCACCAGTCACACAAATTTCTTCATCCGAGTCGGATGAAGACCCTATCCAAAACCCCCTTCCCAAACCATCAAAGCATACACAGCCTCCAGCATCCGCACAATCCGGACGATCAATTCCCGGACGATCAACCTTCACAACCACTAGCATAACTAATACCGAAGCTTATCAAAACCTACAAACACGACTTAAAGCACTGGAAAGCCTGAAGAAGGATCACGAAGACAGGGAAATCGCTATGAGGTTCCACATAGCAGCACGCCCTGACATACCCTGGATAGATATAATCCCAGCTCTACAACACAATCTGAACAATTCTTCCGGACCGTATCCTTTCCATCTCACCAGACATTCTAAAGTTGGCTTTCCGCCGGCTTTATTTATTCTTCTCTTCAATAAAGGTACCTACTTAAATCAATTACCCAATTTCGGTACCCCGATACCAAAACTGGACAATATTCACGACGACCGTACCAATGCGGCAACACATTATTCATTCCTGAAGCATCCTTCTAACCAGCATTGGAGATTTCTTGCGGAGTCCTATCTTTGCAATAAGCTCTCCGAGGACGAAGCACTTTCCAAGCGCTTTGCCAAAGGCAACGGCGTTGATCCAGAAAAGGTTCGCCAATATTGCAACAAGATACGCCAGTTCAAGATTAAGCTAGCAATAGCAATACACCTTATTTCGTCTTTGGGGGTAGCATATGTCACATATATATCAGTTATATTCCCTTTTGCTAAGGTGTTACAACTTAAAACGGGTACGGAAGGTTACCTTTCTCCCTTCCTCTTCACATCCGAGCTACTATACAATAAACATCCTACGGAAGCCGAAATGATCGACCAAAATACGCTCTTAACTAAGCCTCTACAAGAGCTAGCAATCAAATCGATCGCCCAGCCAATCAACGTGCAAGTCTACAGGCATATTGCTATCGCCTACATAAAAAGGTATACAAGAACAAAGTCTATAAAAGCCGTCTTAGGTTTAATCAACAACAACAAACTACGCCTTTCTTTCTTTTACAACTCCCACTCCTCATATCCCTCATTAATTGACTTCCATTAATATATTTATTTATACCTTTTTACAATGGGCTTTGAGCCCGAGCCTATACGTCTTAATCGACATGGGGACGAAGGAACTATACCGAAAACCTACCATAATTTCTTTTACACAATACCCTTTCCCTCTGACACGGATCTGGGATACATTATTATTTACAAACTCTTCTTAACCTCATACCAACTACCCGGAGGAAGAAAAGCCTGGCATTATGTCGGCACAGGAGATGGAGGACGAGCTTGTTGACTATTTCAACAACCTGGCCAGCACCAACGACAACACCAATGTTGGCCAGAGCGACAAGCCGGACGACGAGCCAGTCTCAGAATATTCAACGTCTAAGCCCGCGTGCTATTAAAGACGAAGTCTGAATTCAAGTAAGGCTTAGCAGTTAAATTTGATTATTGCCCCTGGAGAACTTTCACTGAAATGATATCACTAGGAAACACAAACAAAGGCATGATAAGCCTTTCAAATGTACTGTGAAGGGTTGTACTCGTAGTGAAGGCTTCAGTACGCCCAACGATCTTGATAGACACAAAAGAAGCCTACATCCGAATGAGCACGCTGATGGTGACCGTTATCGATGCCAAGTTGGCCCTTGCTTTAATAAGCATAAGATTTGGCCTCGGGCTGACTAAAAGAATTTCATCCCATTGTCCTTGACTGTCCCAGAAGGATCCAGGAGGAGGCTACGAGAGCCTGGACGATCGTATGGGTGCCTCCCCATTTAACGACTGCAAGATCAGGAAGGATCAACATTTCCATTCCAGAAGCAATTCAACAAAAATAGTTACAGAGTTGGAACTCGAACATATTACCACTAAGCATTTTAACTAAATCACATACCAACCCACCCACCCTACTATTCCCCATACCTATAGCCCACTATGGAGCTTTTCAACACAGGAGTCTTTGAGATGCTCGTCTCGGCGTCATCTCATGGTTTAAGTTATTGCTACTCGGAGGCACTGCCCACTGCTCCACCTGCTTCGGAGAGGGTCATACCATGTCTGCGTGTCCCACGGTCAAATGCACAACCCCTTCACATCTTCATCTTCATTTTCATTTTGACACGCTAACATTATTTCTGCTCTCTATAACTATACATTCACCACTGCTACAATGTCGTCTCTAGGCGCAGACAGGAAGCCATTGTCGTAGGGACCCTTAGGCGCAGGTCCCTTCTGATGGGATCCAGAGGGGCCCCGTGATGGCTGCGAGAAAGCTTGATTCCCATTTTTGTCGCGCCTAGTAGCTGGTCGGGGTCGGGGTGGCGATGTCGGGTTCGCAGAGTTAGGTGCTCTCTGCTGAGAACGAGGGGGTTCGCTCGGCAGCGCACTCAGCTCGACTTCTTCTGGCCTAGCATTTCCCTTGGCTGTGCCGGGTAGAGGCGTCGCGTCGAGTCCGAAGAAGGCTTTTATCTTTTGCCAGGTATCAGCTGCGATCTTGTGGCATGTTCCCTTCTTCTGTATGTTGTTGTAGGACAAAATTCGCGTCTCCAACAGCACCAACAGAAAGCCCCTGCCCAGGCAACTAGGGACTGTCTAGGAATTCTTTTGTTCCGTAACGACCTGGAGAGAGTCCTGCGGCGGAAAGCGGAGACGTTCTAACTTCGGCCTGGAGTTTCCCGAGGAAGGGGAAAACTATGGGGTGTTCATTCAGAGAAAGTTGGAGGAGGAGGAGGCCAAGTTTTGCACTGTCGGATATATTATGGTAGAAGAAGTAGTGGAGGAAGACCACGAAGAAGTATACGTAGAAATTGCGAGAAATCCAGGATCGTCCTTCCATCCCGGCAGAGACCCCCGGTGTCAGCGACCTGGCCGTGAGCATTTACAATTGGCTACGAGCATTGTATTTTAGTTGGCCTAAAGAATATAAGGGGAGATGGGAGAGGCCTAGTTAGAGATTTAAACAATGACCTTGACGCCTCGTCTTGTAGCAGTCGGTGTTACCTAGGTATCTCTTAGATATAGCTATTAATATCCAAGAGGAAGCTCTTTAAATCTATCATGATTAGTTTTTATACAAATGCCAAGCCTCACACTGGTACTCTGATAACAGTAATTTATATGCTTTGGATAACTGTTTAATAGTTAGGTTCTTGGCCTACGTGAACATTGACGGTCTTCATAGGGCCAACAAGAAAAGGGGGAGGAACCTAGCGCGTTACCTAGTCTCACTCTAGCCTAGCGATATCTTACTAGGTAATAACTTCTTAGCTCGCCTTATCCAACCAGGTAGTTTCAAAAGGGTTGATTGACTCTTTTCTTCGAAAAAAAGAAAAGCAAAAAAGTAAGCCCTACACTACTAACTAGTAACCCACAACACTAAGTGGGCGTATCGTATAGTGTATGTGCAAAACTAAACGCCTCAGGCGGGGGTCGAACCCGCAACCTTGGGATACCTCTATACCATAGTCCGGAGAGTCCGGTGTTTTCTTTTTTCTAGTACAGTAAAAGTCCCACGCTCTAGCCAATTGAGCTACCAAGGCGGTGGATTTAGGATTTCCGAAATTCGGGAGCTTAGGTAACTGTGGGATTTCATCGCTGTGAAGAGGCTTCATATAGGTACGTTAGTAACTTTGGATTTTGGATAACATCACGAACGACTTTTGACGGATGAGAGTTGAGGAGTCGACAGACGTGCTCGTATGGTGGGATAGGATAGGATAGGATAGGATAGGGAAATGGAGATTTTATTTTTATGTAGTGGATGATTGAAATTGACTGATATTGTGGTGGCATGGAATCAATCCTATTGCAAGCACTTATATATACCGTTGTCGTATAATAGTAATGTTGTCTATGGCCCGATAGTTAAATTGCATGTAGTAGGTATAGCTGTTCATCGCGGAATTCATAACAATATATTAACCTACCTAGGATCTAGGTAGGTAGGCAGGCATACGTTCAGACATTAGTATAAATAACTAACTCCTCCTCCTTTAAACACCAAACAAATATCCTAACTTCGAATTACTCCCTCCTAATCCTGATGCAAGCCAAACCAAGCCAAGCCAACCCGATCTAACCATTTCCATAACACGCCTTGCACCCATTAACCCAAGCCAATATCATAGGTAACAACCCAACCGCCACATCAATCAAAGCCTCTTAGCTCCCCCCCTCCTCGCCATCATATCATAGCGATCCGGGAACAATATCCCATTCGCCAACCTCAACAACTCCGCCTCAGCTCTATCCGCACAACCTGCCTTCTCGTCCCACGGCAGCAAGCCCATGGACCGGAGGCCCTCCTCTCCGCCCGCGTCGTTGACGTCCTGGACGCCGGGCCGGCCCATGTACTCGCGCTCGCCACGACGTCCGCCGCTCTCGAAGTCGGGCGCCGGGTCGCCGAGGAGGAACGCCTTGCGCTGCCGCGCCAGATACAGCGCGTTGGTCTGCGTTAGCGGGCACGCGGGCACGTACAGCACGCTGGAGTCTGATGCCCCGGCGTGGACGGCGTCGGGCGCATGTACGGCGTCCGGGTGCCACAGCACGTAGTCGCCGGGCTCGACGTGCGGAATCGACACCATCGTCTTGTTTAGTCTCAGATGCGGGTGTAGAGCATCGCTCAGTTCCTGGATCCCGCTCCCTGGTACGGCGCCCTGGAGAACGCTGTTCTGCGCCACGTGAAGCTTCCAGTTATCCTCGTGGAGGAAGTTTGGGCCTGATTTGAAGCGCGGGGAGAAGAAGGGGCGGAGGAGGAGATAGGCGGTTGTGAGTTGGAGCATGGGGCAGGCGAGCAGGGAGCCGGCGCCGGGCGGGATCGAGGACAGCGAAAGCCAGCCTTGGAACATTCGAAACATACTACACGAGCCGGCGCCGTTGTAGAGGTCCGAAGTTACACGAAGACGAGCACCGCTATCCCAGGGGTCGTATTCTTCCCACCGTCCTTGGAATATTTTGGCGTAGGCGCCTGCACGTCCGTATCCATCCGACTCCCACCTTTCTACACTCCCATTATCTATATGCGGGCCAGATGCGAGGAAAGTATCGCCGGGTTTCCGCATTCTGATGCGGTCTGCGTAGGCTACCGCGTGGTTGCTACTCACGAGGGCCTCTTCATCATCCGAATGCCACACTCTCATGACAAATCTCTGTACTTCGAGCAGTCGTGAGTCGGCGCGGGCCCGAACTTGCCCGGGACTCCAGAACAACTCGTATAGTTGCGGATCATGACATGGGATGCCTTTGATAGGCGGATTATGACTTTGGTACTCCTGCGTCTCCTCTTTCCACGACACGGCTACGTTCGACGGGACAACCCTTCGTACGATAGCCACGCCTCTCTCCTTTAATGCGTCGCGGAAAATGGCTACCTTGGCTACATCATATATATCCAGGTAGTCAATCGACGGTATTATATCGGACCCAACGGCTGCGATGCGTTCTGCCTCTTTCCTCAACCGACCTAGAAGACGATAGAATGAATCGGCAACTGCTTTCTCATTACCTGCAATCAATTTCCGCTTGATCTTGGCGAATCGTTCGGGAAGCGGAATAGGATCCAAGTCTGGTAGAGATAAGTCGACTGCCATCACTACCTACTTCTACCACGTAAGGTCCGGCTTAGTGCTTGAATTGTATAGTAAAGACTGTAGTAAAGTATATCAAAAGAACTGCTCTTTTCCCATAGTTAAATTCAAAGCAGAACTCCTTGCTACCTAGCCAAAACAAATGCACGAGCAGAAACTAGTATGGGAGAACCATCCTCTTAGTAGGTGGAAGAAGGACAGCGACGACACACCCGTGGGGGCGCATAAGCTCCCGTGGGGGGCACCGATAATACTAGCCATCTGTAGTCGGACGGCGAAGTAAAACAGAGGTTTTGTTTGGGTCGTCTGGATATGCAGCGGCTATACTAGGCATTGCTGGGCATTGCTAGGCATCAAGAAGCGAAGACCCACGGGCGTGGTCTAGAAGGGATCAAGGAAAGGCAATCAGACATTGTCACGTTGTCTAACGTTGAACTGGATCTGATATCCTGGGACCCTGGGTGTGTTAATCTTCGGCAACGAACTCCGAAATAGAGATCTCTTGGCTCAGTACCCAGACCCTGGCACCAATTTACTAGAGCCGATACGGGTCTAGGGCGGCTTGGCTATTGGTTAGCCCAATGCGGCTCCTGAACGACGCTCCCACGGGCCGTTGGACCGATCATACGCTGAGTAGGCTGACTGTCTGACATGTCAACAAGACAGAAAAGCCAGAAAAGCCTCAAGCGTCCCGGATATGTTAGACAGCCTGCCGAGCTCACCGATGTCGTATTATCTGTAGACTGTAGTCTGTAGTCGCCGAAGATTACACGGCAGCTTATGGCATATGCAATCATGTAAATTGAGATGCAGTTCCCGGCGTCCCAGATTGCATTGGTGTGGCGGTTTTGGAATGGCTGAGAATTCTTAGTGGTCCTATCGAGTATTCCGTACATTGGAGTAGTACATTAAGTGCCCGGCTTTCAGGAAGCTTTACCTCGTTTTGATCGGCGAAGCTGTATTTCCTGTATTTGACGATCCGTGGCGTCGTTGGAGATATTACTCTTCCTCTTGGCCGGTTTCCTCGACGAATCCACCTGCGCAGGTTTGACGTCGGACGGGGAAGCAGTCTTTGCATCCCCGGACGTCGCATCTGATGCTCCCTCATTTATTAATACATATGCCACTTTCTCAACATCAACAGCATCAACCCCTAGCCGTTTGACTAGCACCTGAGCTGTCGTGCTTAACTCGTGGTATTCTTTGGCGTTGTATTTGATGGGAGACTTCTGTCCATTACAACATAACCAATAGAATACTTCGTCCGAGAAGAAGATGACTCCATGGGAGTCATGCACCGAGAGCAAAAGGGATGCTGTAGCAGGGCCGATCCCTTTCAGATTAGAGATGGCGCGTACTGCTTTAGACGTATCTAAACTGGATCGATACTCTTCTACTGCTTCCCGGATAATGCGCTCGACAAGCGCATCGTCATTTGAGGAAACGAGTTTCATGAGGGTCGGGCGGAATTTGCCATGGCGCCTGATCCAATAAGTTAGACTCTAGACTCTAGAGCCAGGGCGGCCCGAGAATAAGACGTGCCGGATGGCGGTATTGCGGTATTCTAACAAACCAGACTAGAAACCAGACTAGACTTACAGCTTCCAATCAACCAAGGTTTTAACGTCCTTAAGCGTCATTGTGCTCTTTGGCTCCTCTGAGCCATATATATTGACGGCATCACGGTATCTGAATCGATCCAGCTCCAGCAGAGTCTTTTGACCGGGCTTGGCTGTTTGTAGTGAATGTGATTAGCCCCGCGGATATCGGTATTAGGGTATTAGGATTAGGATTAGGTATGTGACTATTTCGAACGCGTACCCCCTTTGGCCGATGATATCGACTCAATTAAAGAGTCATATCTGCCTAATAGTTGTTGGAATTGCCCAAGCGAGATGTTGTTTGGGAGTAGACTCTGGTCTAGCATTTTGATTGCGAGATTGATGGCACTACTGTTCTTTAGTAGCCGTATCATGTATGTTTACTTGAAGCTAGGCTGAGTTGAGAAATTATTTATTTGAAACAAGACGACCTTATGACTATGTGTGATATATTCTAGTGGTACCCAGACTAATATGTATGTAAATATGTAAGAGAAGAGTTGATAGTAGCAAAGTAGCGTCAAAACTGATCTATCCTAAATCACATACGGACGTGTTAGGTAATACCTCCTACTATGGTTATATGGGTAAGTACTATGTAACTAACAGATAAAAAAGCAAGTGGCCCGTGTGTTTTCCGGAAACGTTCTAGAACAGTAAAAGTAAGAACGGCCCCCAAAATAGATTTAGGTTCAACTTAGCGCCGAGACCCCTGCGCCTCTCTTGCATCGGCTCTATTGTAGAAAAAAGTAAAATCTATTTCCTTCCAAATCCATCCTGAACCCCCGATTTTTCCCATCTTTCGCAACACCTAACCGCCATCCCGACCGCCATACCTCATCAGTCGCTAGTAAAAGAGGGTCTTACATTCTACTCTCCCTTTTTTTCTTATCAACTAACATAATGGGTAACGTAAGTTTTCCTAATCCGCAATCCCAACGCTGGCTGCTCGGAGAGGAGGAGAGAAGAGAGGAGGAACAGCCTGGACGCCGGCCAACTCCGAAAATAAAGGACAACAAGATACTAATTCTCGCAATTAGGGAGCCAAGGCTGCGCAGAAGCGCGAGCGCAATGCGAAGGACAACAAGGTCGCCAAGTCGCAGTTGAAGTCGGTAAGTCTTGATATGACTGACGATCTTATTTCTAACGAAGATCATTCTCCACTGACTTACATGGGATTCTCTTATGTAGAATGTCAAGGCTATGGATATCCAGTGCCAGATCTGTAAATCGACCTTCCTGAAGACCACCCGCGCGCCTCAGTACGTAACTCCCCCTCCCCTTCCAAGTTACTCTGGTAATATAATACATAAATTGTGTATCTCTAGCTGACCGTACTCTCCCGCAGGCTCACCGAGCACGCTGTCAATAAACATAACAAGTCCATCGCCGATTGCTTCCCCGGCCACGACGCTCCTCCAGCCAAATAGACAAAAAACGATGGTCTGTATCCGTACAGGACGATCGAACAGGTGAAACAATGGGCATAGCGATTGGCGCACTTGGTGTTTAGCAGAGAGGTCTTATACGGATGGGTGTGTTGCTACGAGGTCACGACGCGACTTTGATTAATGAGATTGCACTGAGTTAACTGAAATTTTCTTGTGTCTTGATGATTCGCATGCAAATGTATATGGTAACGCACACGCTATTAGTGTGCTTCCACTGCTTGCGCCTGGGTGTTGATATCTGCAACCCCTCCGCTTGCAGGCGCGTTGGTATTGTCCGACGCCCCTTGCGCCTCTTGCTTCTGGGCCGCCTCTCTGGCCTGCTGCTCCCGTATGTCCTTCAGAATATCCGGATACCATCTCTCCCCCACGTCTGGGTGACTCTTGACTCTGTTTCTTAGTGTTGCCTCGCCTAGCGTCGATGCTACACCACCCTTCCTAAAGGTAAACTCGACATCATCAAGCCTACCTCCATTCGCCTCCAGCACTTTCTGTCGCCGCTGCTTGATTCCCTCGGGCACTTGTCCGACACCGACCTCGTCCAACTCCTCGAACGTGGTAGAGGCTCGGACCCCTTGGAAGAAGGGGATCGAGAATCTCGCACCCTTGCCCGCTTCGGGTGAGAGGACCCTATGGGTTGTCGAGGCGCAAACTCCCTGCGTCAGGGCCTCTAAGCCCTGCCCGATAGCCACTACCAGCGTACCGTCGATCGGTGGGCAGTCGATCCATTTACCTTGCATATTTTGGACCTGCAATCCCCTGTGGTTACTTGCTTGCAGTAGGTAACTTGTCAACATACTATCCTTATGTGGACCAACTCCTTGGCCTTCAACGCCGTCACCCAGCCCTAATTCGGATACATCGGGATATTTGACGATCTTCAACTTGTGCTGCTGATCCGGATCGAAGTACCGGTTAAAGGCATCGGAAGGCAGCTCGATGGCCTCTGCGATTAGAGACGTGAATTCTATCGAGATGGCACCCATGCGTCTTATGTAGTCGGTGTAGACTGAGCGGAAGTTGGGCAATACGTCTTGCGAGGGCCATTGATTAGGCGCGAGTAGATTCTCGTATAGCGGCGCGCCGGGCTTCGGGATAGGGTGTTCTGTAGACAGGTCGATCTGTTCCCTATGATCTATCTTGCCCGCTGTGATTTCGGCCGAGAGTTGCGAGTACCCCAGGAACGACGGCGCGTTCTTCATCTCGATCTTAAGCCTTCAAACTCGGGTTCGCATGAGCTTATGAAATCACTTATACCCCTATTATTGTATTTAGACTTACTTTTCTTCCTTTGGTATATCAAAGAAGGCCTTTCCTTCCGATATGACTTGTTGCCAGAGCTCGTTCGGAATACCGACGTTCTTGAGATATAGGAATCCGACCTCCATCAGGGCATGTCGTAGATCTGCTAGGAACTGCGGCTTTGTCTGCGCATCCCTAGAGAGAGCCAGATCCAAGATGGGGATCGAAGTGAACGACATTGTAGATGTTCCCAATAGCTAAAAGGGGAATCTAAAAGCACCAATGTCCGACTTGAATAACTATATGAATATTATATAGGTTAGGTACCTTTATGTTATACGTACATTCGTTTGGTCCCGAGTTGTTGTGAATCTCATGATATAGTATAGTCCCACTTATCTTATGGCGTCATTCCGCTTATCGGCATGGCATTTGCTGCTTAAATACATAAAGTTAAAACTTTATTTAATATTAAAGATGAGTTTTACTACATATTTGTACTACCATGTTTTGCTATCGGGGGCTTATTCGTACTCCCTAGTACAAAAGGTACATACATATGTATTTATCCCACCTATTCTCAACGCCTAATACAACAACTACTGTATCTAATTCAATCTCGCGATGCAACATATAAACTTTACATCGTTATTTTCGCTTCAATTAGAGCTTTCGAATGATAAATGTCTCAATTGGATGCATGCGTTGCTTCGAAAGCTATTTGAAGATATACTCATGCGAAGATATAGTCAATTCAACGTGGCGCGCGACCGCAAAAGAGCCTCCAGCAGAGCCTCATTAAACAGGAGGCAACCCCGCTGGATTGCACAATAGTTTACGACCAAACCAAACGATTGGTTAAATCCCGCAAAGCCACCCAGCCTCGCCGCGCCGGGGGTCACGGGCGCTCGGCACGTACTTCGCCAGAACAGCGTCAAAATAGATGACCCATTTAATTTCTTAACTTTAATCCTTTGTTTTAACTTAAATAACTTTATCAACTTTTATAGAAGCTAGATAAAATTTGTATAATATGATATTTAATCAATTCGGTTTAATATAAGAATTTTTAAATCTTTTTATCTTTTGATTTGGTTGAAGAATTGTATTGTAAAATGTGTGTGTATATTATTCTGCTTGAGTGGGGATGGGTCATCTATTTTGACGCTGTTCTGTTCGCACACGCCTCGCACCCGTAACCCCCTTGGTGCGGCTCGGCGGGCGGCCACACAAACCATACAACAAGCCACCTAACCACACACAACCCCCCCTAGCCATGGTTCGAATCCTCGACCTCGCATCCCATCATTTCTTTTACGCATTACTACGCAGACAAAAGCGCGGCGCTTTTGCCTACTTCGTAAACGGGTCAAGCTCCGCGTTTCGGCTTCGCCGAAGCGCTCCGTTAACCCCTTATTAGCCGCAACAACGCCTAACAACCCCTGGCTAGGAGCCCTATGGCTAATTACGTAGCTGTAGCAAGTTATATAGCCGTGGCTATGGCTATAGCCAATCCAATCGCCAAGCCAAAAACCCTCGCTATAGCTAATCACGTAGCTGTGGCTAATCCAATCCCCATTACATAAGCAACTTTCGTCGAAATCTCGACCAAAACCCACTCTATTCCAAAGTATATCCAATCAACGCATACAAAACTGACAGGGGCATTTCTATTTACAATAATTTTTTCAAAATAGGAAAGTGGGTTAAACTCCTATAGAAACATCCCTCGGCACCCTGGATACCTAGCATCCTCCGCACCCTCAGCACCCTAACCCACGGCTCAGCACCCAAAAAGAGGGCTCGGCACACTGGAGAACAGCACCCTTAATACCCTCACCCTCAGTACCTTCACCCTCACCCTCACCCTCACCCTCGATTCAACACCTAGGAGGAGGGCTCGGCACCCCGGACTTGGCACCCTTAGCACCCTCAGCACCCTCACTCACGGCTCGGTACCCTAGGGGAGGGCTCGGCACCCCGGAGGAGGACTCGGCACCTTAGAAAAGGGCTCGAAACGGTACGTATTTCGAGAAAAAGATGAAAGTGGGGACTTGGTAAGACCTATCCACATTTGGGGAATGCATCCAATAAAAAGCGTTAAAAGGCTAAGCACGGACGAACTTCCTCTTTTGAAAAACGTGACCCAAGACAATAACCCTCATAAATTCGGGCAAAAACGCGACACAATAACCCTTCGTAAACTCAGGGCATTTGTCCGGTAATATTATAACAACATAAGTCTTTAAATGCCTAGGTACTCTTATTCATTTTGCCTTACGGCTAGTAAACGAGTGCGCAAGCTTTTGGTATAGCCGTGAAGACTCAGTTCAGGTTACCTCCTCCCCCCACTATCCTTGATGACCTAGACACTCCTTTATCGCATCATTATCAAGAAGATTGCTGTCGCCTTCCCGCCGGGGCTGCTCGACTTCAATAAGCCTAACAAGGCTTGCATGTTTCGGACTCCTCACCTCAATCTTGTAAGGAAACTCCCTCAAATGGCTATGTAATCCTGGATGAAGCTCAAGCGTAGGCTCAATTTCGTTACCATGCTCATCGACCGCCTTCCTAATATTGAAAGCGGCTAGTATCTGGGCGACGAGTACAAAGACATTAGCGTCAGCAAAGAACCGCCCAGGACATATTCTGCGCCCATAGCCGAATAGTATAGTCTTTGGATCAGGCTCATTCTGCGGCTCCAAGAAACGCTGAGGATTAAACAAATCCGGCTTAGCATATACGTTAGGATCGTGTAAGAACCACCATATCATAGGCACCAATACAGCCCCTTTCGGAATAAGATATCCACCGTACGCCGTATCTTCCGACATTGCATGAGGAATTCCTAGCGGCGCGATAGGCGACCATCGAAAAACCTCTTTCACAAGAGCTTCGACGTATGGTAGTTTCGCTCGGTCTGCTAAGTTGGGAAGCCTATCACTACCGATCAATAGGTCGATGGCTTCCTGCGCTTCTCGCTGCACCTCCGGGAACTTAACCATGGCTAGAATAAAGCTAGTCACAGCGGTCACGGTGGTGTCTGCGCCTCCAGCATACATGGCTGCAGCTGTCCGTTTAATTGCGGCCTCATCATCGCCACGAAGCTTGGAGTCCGTTTCACCATTTTTGCATTCCTCAATCAACCGGGAAACATACGATTGTCGACAGTTTCCTGCCGCTATCTGCCGCCGAACAAACATGTATGGTACGTTCACCACGGTTTGATTGATTTTCTTCCACTTGCGGGCTGTTTCCTTAAACCCAGAGCCGGGAAAGCCATCTGGAAGATGTTTCAAGGCAGGGATGAAATCCACCAACCACGGGACTGTGGCCTTCACCAAGTTGGCCGTCATCTGTTCGATCAGATTGACCAACGGATCCACGCCATCCGGCTCAACAGAGTAGCCATATGTCATCTTCAATATGATAGAACCCATTGCGCTAGACAGCAGTTGGGTTAGTCAGTCTACCTTTCGGACCGTGGGCAATAAACTTACTACTTCAAATGCTTAATTGTTGCATCTGGGTTATTTAACACACAAAGAAGAAACCGACGTGTCTCCACTTCTTGAACATCGTCAAATCGTGCTGCCAACTTTGCCGTACCTAACTGCTGGTGGAAAAGCTTGCGTCTGTGGCGGAAATCAGCATCATACCGGCTGACCATAAACTCGCTAAGACCACAGAGCGAAAAGGCGAACTCCGCCCACGGTCGATCTGAAGACTTTGCCGACTCCTTCTGCAAGATGTCGTGCGCCGCCTGCCGGTCATGCAGTATGATAAACGTCCTGCCCAGCACGGTCATGGAGCTAATCGGCCCATACTGTTCCCTATGTTTAAGCCAATGCTGGAACTCAGGCTGGGCCTTTTCCGGAAGATCCATGATGCTGCCGAGGATTGGTAATGATTTCGGCCCCGGAGGAAGCAGTCTGGGCGCATCGTTTCTGATGGAGTATCGATAGACGAGATAGACGAGATAAGCGGCCACCACTATGAAGGGTGGAAATATAAGCAAATGTGCCATGGTGGATAATAAAGCCCAGGGCATTTGAATTCGCGATGAGCGCAGTAAAAGAATCTTGACCAAACGTGTAAACCATCGTTATGCTTGTTCAGTCCATCTAATACTAAGCCTCCCTAGGGCCTCGGTCCGTTTAATGAGGAAAGAAAGCAGAGCAAGCTCGAGCCTCCCAACATGTAACGCACATGCGGGGAGAACCGGGTTCACAACGCCAGGACTAGCCCGTGGACGAAATGTAACATATCAGCTGTCGTGATGCAAGCATGAGAGCACGAGAAGAGACTGCATTGTAGCACGAAGAGCCCTATCTACAAACTAGTGGCCGCGAGCAGATCCCGATCCATATCCTCTGGTGGCGTAGGTGCTGCAAAGCGGTTCGCTTAACCGTGCATGAGGGGGAAAAAACAGGTTAATAATTACTGAAATGGATCACGATTATGAACTTGATCATCTTTTATCTACACACTTATATATTCTTATAGTGACGCCTTATATCTGCACGGCAATCCCGAGATGCAAGAAGATAAGGACACCCTGTTAGCCGCAACCCCGGTATCGTACCTAGGTGCACCTGCCGCCGCGTGCCGGCTATTAAGGAGATCGCCTTATCCATTGGGCGTCAATGCAAGTCATCACAACGCTCAATTATCTCATATTGTCGTCAGCCGATGTCAAGAGTCTAGCGGCAGTCATCGGGGAACAGGGTTCCAGCATATGGGACAAAGGACATTCGTGCATATCGACCGGGGAACTGCTCGCGGCCACTGGTGTGTAGATAGGCCTCCTCGTGCTACAATGCAGTCCCTTCTAGTGCTCTTATGTCTGCCCATCTCTCCTACCTCTTCGGCCTATTGTGGCTTTCTTGTGGCCAGCATGCCTTCTGTTCAGCAGCAGCTATCAAAAGGAATTACAAGTCTCGGGCCGGCAGACCAAACAATTACTGTATGAGCGGCATAACAACATTGCAAATAGCTAGTTGCACGCAACTATATCAATGCCGCAATCGACCTCGCTGGGTAGATTCAGTTAAAATCTATATCCACTATTGATCTGTCTTCTAGCTGATCACGCAGTGATAAAACCAAGTTCAATCCAGTATGGTCGGCTCTAGAGTAGACCATAAACCCAACCGCGAGTTGAAGGTGCTCGCCTTAGGTCTCCCACGAACCGGCTCTTCCTCCATTGCTGAGGCCTTGACCATACTAGGCTACAAAGACGTCCTCCATGGCTTCAACATCCTTGACTCGCCGGAAGTTTGGTCATTTATGAATCGCGCAGCTGACGCCTCGTTTGCTACACTGCCGACGTATACAGGCAAGCCATTTACACGCAAGGAGTGGGATGAACTATTTGGCGCTAGTGAGGCAGCTACCGATGTGGCCGCCGTATTTGCGACACAGCTTATCGAAGTATACCCCGAAGCGAAGGTCATTCTCGTGATACGGGACTTTGATAAGTGGTATCGGAGTATAGAAGCTGCTGTTAAAATATTCTGGAGCTTTCCTTCCCAACTGGCTTTCAACTACTTGGGTCAATTTTTCGATCCTTGCTTTGGCCAAGCAACGAAAAAGATTATTACAGGATTTTTCGAATACACGAGCATTGGCACGTTCCCGCAGGACGCAAGGATAGTATACGACCGGCACCACTACAAAATACGTCAACAGGTGCCATCCTCTCGGCTGCTGGAGTATCGCATGGGGGAAGGGTGGGAGCCTATATGCAACTTCTTGGAAAAGCCACTACCGAATGTGCCGTTTCCGTGGCTCAATGAGGCGGAAGCTCTGAGAAGGCGCGTGAAGTTAAAGGTGAGGAAGCATCTTGTTGCAGCACTGAGAGTGTTGATCCCGTGGGCTTTGGGGACCTGTACAATGCTGGTGGCAATGTGGATGGTGAGAACGAGGAGTGGGTATTAAAATACTGGTTCATGTGTAGGTTCACATCCTGGTGAATTGTCGTGGTTGTCGCCGCGGAAGGTTAGGATGCGAAAGACTGTATCACGCATATCAAAATGGTGTACCGCCACTATGTATTGCAATAGCTGCGATTGGGGATAAACTCTAATCAAAGGTTCATGCTCTCAGAACCAGCAGGGCAGTCACGCTGAACGATTGTATCGTCACGAACGATAATGGGGGTCGTAGACGGTAGACCGTAACCAAATGATAAGTTAGTCCGATTGAAAGATGCAGGCAAATAATCGTGACTAGAGCTATCAAATTCTAATGTTCTTTCTATGGAGTGGTGATTCAATGTGCCTACATAGGTACCTTTTCCTCAGCTCTGGAACTGCCCAAGTCGAGCCTACCTCCTGGCCTCCAAAATTCCGGATTTACACTCAATCTCTGGATCAGGTCTCCATGATGGCAACTTCCTCGCTAGTATCAGTCTCAGCAGAAAGAGAGATCGCCCGTACGAGACAAATAAAATCCAACACCATCTGGATGCCCCACACCACCAGTGGAAGCCAAAAGGACACAGCTCCGTCCCATGCCATAGGTCCGGTCTTGACAATATGCACAGAGACAGCTGGGGGTAAAAAGAGAATAGAAGTTATCATATTTGAAACTCCCATCGCCTTCGGGAATGGCCGCCTGGGACTATTGTCGACAAAAATGCTATATCCAAAGGCAAAATACTGCGCAACAAATGTGGGGGTAGCCATGACGAGAAGGAACCAGAACAAGTCGTTCAGGACCTGGGTGGTTTCAGCATTGCGCTCGATTCGATAGTTTGCGAGGCCCAGAACGAGCCCTGCCCAGAGGAAAAGGGTGGATGAAACACCACCGGCTACTAGCTGGAGAGCTTTGACGATGTAGTGTAAGTTGGGAATGCGCTGTAGCTGGTTCGAGATCGCTACAGTAAAGGCTAGGTAGAAGAAACTGCACCAGACCAATAATGCGGCGCCGGCCTGTATGCCCTTCTCATGGTCGCGGTAGTGGTTAACCGTTTGCTCCGCACTCCAGGATGGTGGGGGTGGCGGGAAGAACCCTGACGCCAACAGGCCAGCAAATGAGCATATCCCTAGTGGAATAGCGCTATAGACACAAGCATATTGAAGAGCTCGGGGATTGGGGACACGGGGCCACTCTAACTGGCCTAAGAATTTGTGCATTATCTTGGAATGTCACGATTAAGCAATTAAATAATGAAGTGGGGGCGTCTGCTAGAGGGTACACCGCAAGAACTATCATATGGTGGTGAGAACGTCCTGTGAGTAGCGTCAGCTATTAATATATATATATTTTTTTGATATCTCTCTCCTTATGTGGAAGAAGACTACAGGTACATGACCCCACATAACCCAGCCAATCAAGTACTGATAAGAGCTGAGAATATACCTTTTACGGTAAACGCGAAATAATGTAACCAATCAAATTTAAGGGTCTATGTACCTGTAACCTTCTTGCACTTAAGAAGATATAGGCAATATAATATTCGCCTGCCAGCTCCTCGTCATCTCGATCCGGCGCATAGTTGATCGCAGTCCGGCCTTTACCTTCGAGTGCATGCAGGAGAAGGGGTCGTCTTAGTGACACGCTTAATAGAAAAAATAGGCTGCTGAAAATCTGAAAATGCCAGGCCGTTAAATTGAGATATCGCCAAGTCCGAGGCTTGTTGAATCTTGAAAATTACTCTCAATGCAGAGGATGTGGCTGGCTGATCGGTTCCGCCATGATGCGGTGCCGGACGGGCGGACAGGACGGGCGGCGGTACATAGGTAGCCGCATATAGATTACCTAACCAATTAATTTAAGCTGCTTATGTACCCGCCGCAGGCTCGCACTCCAGGAGATACCTAACCTAGTAATAATATAACGGGTCGTCATGAGACATGACAATCTAATTCCGTGTACAGCTATGCAGACTGTAAGACCTATGACAAGTACCCCATATGTTCCACAATTCTTGCAGACTGTAAAACTACCTACTGTTGAACAGGGTTTCAGGCACGGCTGAATGTGTTACGGAATACGACTAGTCACTTGATTTCGGAGTGTCGATCATCGACGCGCATGTCAACAACCATCCTCCAGTTCCTTATCTTCTCAGAGAGAGCCAACCATCTCGGACACTGGACGGGACAAGACGGAACGGGACGAAACCAGCAAGAGCTGGCTCAACATGTAAGAGTTTATCAACGTGGGATATTTGGACACTTGCCTATGCATTACATGTTTGGCACAACCAACCGGAGCTTCACGGCTGGACTAGTTTGCAGAGTCACCTCGTACTGCTCGTGGGTTAACTGAAGAGTAGTATGTTGTTAGACTGCATTGAGAATGCCCCAATTAAGCGATCCCTAGATCATACAGACGGACCAGCGGCAAGAACTTCTACAGAGAGACAGGTCCCAGAAATAGTTGTACTCCAATTGCGCTTGGTAGGTATACGCCAGCTTGGGGGCCTGGTTAACCAACCTGGCCAGTATATTGCCTTAATTAGGTATGCTTGTGCTATGGTTTACTTATCTGGCAGGCGGAAATGTTTAAACATTATCGCACGTATTACGGTGGTCGGCGGCCCATTTAACTATTAACTTAACCCGAACCCGAACCGCTCCTCCGACTTTTAACTTTGCACCGGGAGCTGGTCGTTTTTAAAAGATCTTAATCTTTTTTTTCCGAAGGAATATTGCGCTCAAACTTTTTTTAATTACGTAAGAAACTGATAAGAAAACTGATAAGGAAATACATTGTGAAATATATCACGAAATACCTTAGTAATTACGTAAGTAATTGATTAGATAAGGCCGCGCACATGACTTCGGAAAGATCCCACGTGCGAGCCTGCGAGCACGTAGAAACGCTTGCGCGAGCTTACGAGTACAAGCGTTTCGGTAAATTTTATCTACCTATATGACAATAAGCCAGCCATTTGATTCCAACATTAACCCAGCTAAATCAAATAGCCAATTTGTTCAATAATAGGTGCATTGGTTTGCCTGCTTCTGGATTATTGCTGATGATGTCTACGAGTTGCTTTCCTTGTGCAAGTAAATTGTCAAGAAACATGCGAGTGTACTCAAGGCTGCCCGTGCTTTCCATGCGCTGAACAGCATATTGCTTGATGGAAGTCTCTGTAGGTCTTTGTCTTAAAATGTTGAGGAGCTCTTGGTTATTTGGGTCATGATGAATACAATGTATGGCTGGGAAGGATAATTTCCCTTCGGTCAAGTCGTCGCAAAAGCCTTTGCTGTTGGTGTATTCGTTTGAACAAAGATTCTGGTAGTCATCTCTGATTTGAAAAATGAGACCAAGTAAATCAGCCAAGCGCACACAGTCTGATGGTACTGGTCTCCGGGACTGAGTCTGCATGAGCTTGATGCTAAGTCGGAAGAGGCCTCCCGTCTTATTGCCAGCCATGTCAAGGTACTCGTCCTTGGTCGGGCAAATAAGTGAATCTCGCCAGTGCAACTCCATGCCCTGGCCACGATGCAACTGCAATAACTCATCGTTGAATTGCAGTATTGCTTCGGCGCTCTCTAGCCTTTGAAGTTCTTTCATGGCACGGAAATAGTAGTAGTTTGCACTGTTGATAGTCTGGGCCACGCCATAGATGCTATGTGCTACTGGAAGCCCCCGTCGCAGTGTTGAGTTATCTTGTATGTCATCAATGAGTAGTGATGCAGAGTGTAGCATATCGATGGAGTCGGCAATGATCTTGAACCGGTCCATTGGAACGTCCATCCAAGCGTTAAAGGCGCCCATGACTTGTGCACGCACGCCTTTGCCGGGATTCCGCAGCAGGTAGTTGTAAGGACCAGCAACTATAGCTTCATTCTTATCCGACCATGTTTGGCCGACGGTAGTTACTTCAGGCCCCCAGGGGCTGCTGCCAAACCGAGATGGGACGAAAGAATCTGTTGGCGTTATAGGGGCAAGCCATTGAGGTAGTTGGGGACTGCCATTTGGGTTTGAAGGAGGCGTGATCAGACGGAGACTAGGCGAGCTTGTGAACTTAGATAAATGATTCGAGACAGCAGCAACTTCGGCAGAGTTGCAACTATCGTAAGTGAGAGGCTCATAAGACATAATTCTAGCAGTTGAAGTATTCCTGTGCCTAGGTAGTTTCCGGTAGTTTCTGGTAGTTTGAGCTAGAACTTCTGAGCAACTTCCCTTAACTTAACGAAAATATTCAGTGCCTACCCAGATAAATACTCCACCGAGAGAAAATCTTACTTTGCTCATCCGAAAAGTTCCTATGCTACAGACACGGCACGGTGAAAAGAGAGTGCTAGGACGATAATGAAGAATGAATAGCCCAACATGCGACTGACCAAGAGAATCAAACAGATAATCTTGCAGCTGCAAGTTAGGGCTACTAGAGTAGCTTCAACTTAGAATGCATACTAGGGGTTGGCACACCGGGATACCTAATGCCCGGTCAGTTTACCTAGGTAGGTAGGCAAATGATTTCGTTGGTGTAATGCACATAATATGCGCGGTACCTGGATGCGTTGCATGAGATAATGGCCAGAAGCATATAGCATTACAGTGACGTCACGTTTTCATCACTAGTAAATGGCAAAGAGTGATCGTCACTACATACCATACCGGGAAAATACGCTGAGGCGTAACTATTGTAATATTGAAATGCTTACTCTATATAATGATTCCTGATTAGGTAGATACTGATGCTTTAGGAAGGGACCAACGCTTTAAGAAGGACCAATATTTAAAGCTTACAACAATAATTGTTAAAAGCATAACGTTAATAATATTATTAACGTTATGCTTTTAACAATTATTATTGCAAGTTTAAGCATTGGCCCCTGATTAGGGATCATTATATAAAATAACCATTTTAATATTATAACGGTTACGCCTCAACGTATATTCCCGCTATGGTAGGTACTTATGTAAAGCAAATTTAGATGCCTGAGAGAATGTAGGCCTTGAATGCCGTGTCTATTTCTGTTCGTACGATGCTAGTCCGTTCGACATGGCCAAATTGAACTACTACAATGTAAATCTACATGAGGAGGGAATGTGGCTTTCTTGCAGTCTGCAGGAGTTGGGATGGTCCTAATTTTGTCAAAACGATGGCGCTTCTATGGCCTCATCAGTCTATGATCGGGGGGTGTGTGCAGTCCTTGTGCTCCATAGGCTCCCAGGCTACTCCGTTATCAGACCACAAGGTCGGTATCCTACGATACGTTGCAACGACTGTCAGTTCAGCTACACTCGCAACCAGACCCGTTAAAAATCGTACCCAGTCACTCGTCTCACTAGTACCGCAACACCACAGGCCGTACGCTGCGCTCTCCAGCAGGATATTCTCAAGGGTAACCTTGTCGCGTACTGCGCATTGACCCATTTCCCTGCCTGGCGCCGTGAATATTGCCGGCCAGTCAAGCACACTCAGAACGAACATTTCCACACTTGTGTATATCGTATCTGCGTTGCCTCCCAATTTGCTCACTGCCGGCTCAGCAACCAACCACAACTCATGGAGTGACTCTAGCACGATAATTCTATCGTAGCTTCTCGACTCAATATACCGTGTCAGGATGTGGTTGACCAGGCGCTGCCCTGGCCCGCTCTCAGCCAACCGACCGCAGCGCGCTTGCCAGCACTTACTGCTGGTCTCTAAGTCGATTTCAGCTGGTACCTCCGTACTCAAGGGGCCCCAATCGCTCCTATACGGCACTCTAGGCCATTGGGCCCTGGAGCCGCCCCTTATGAGCCAGCCCCTCTGCACGATGCCACTGAGCTCTACACTACGGGCTAACCACGCGTTCTCAAAGCCCCGGTACCGGAAAGCTAGCGAGTACATGGCCGTGAATCCTACCGCAATATCGGCCGCGATCGTGTGGCTTCTCGACCCACACGTGCACTCGCAAACTCGATCTATCACAGCCGAACAGTAATCTGCCAGTACTGAGGGGTTCGACTCGCCTGACTGGCTGACCGCGTAAACCAGTGAGTTCCCGCCTTCGCCAATCGTCCTATCCAACGCATAGTCCGACAGGTCGTTGAGCCAGATCGTGACGTCGTAACAGGAATTGACAAGGTGGCAAATCTGTTTGCCGTCACGTCGACCCAGTTCCGATTCGAGTGACCAGTCGTGGCACATGAAGTACGGCACCACTCCTCCGTCATACCAACGCATGTGCAGCCACATGTTTCTATCTACGGCACTAAGGTCATGCCCCGTGTCCCCTTGAAGCTTGGTATACCTCCCGTAGCCTGGCCTGGTCAGGGCCGCCGCTATCATTTCTGCACCCGCGGTACCTTTCTCATTGTGCTTGGCGATAATATCGAAGCCATGAGTCGATACCTCAAGGGCCGCCGCGGCATATTTCGGATCCTCGCCATCCGGAGTTCCGTCGTAGTCAGGAATTGTACAAGCCATTGCTGCTTGTTGGAAGGCTAGTATCGGTTGCATTCCTGAACTCCTGTATAGCGAGACGACAGTAAAACTGAGCCATACGCTCGTCATTAAGTCATATTCTGCCCACATCGTCTTGGAGCCCGTGATCTTCGAAAAGCTCCGCAACTGGACGTTCCTGCTCGCCCCTTTAACGGCTTCAGTGCCTCCACCAGCCGCGGTTTTCGCGGCCAGTGCCACCGAAAATCTAGCAGCAGCGAATTCTTTGTTGAATTCGTACGCCGTAGGCCTCTGCAAACGATGTGCAGTCCATTTGCCCAGCTCGGCCCAAGCCGGCACTGGTATCTGAGACAAGTCCGGCTGCGGGAGTGGGCATTCATGTCCATTGCACACATAGCAGCCCCGATACCCCGTGTTTGAAGTATCAGTTTCTGCCATTGACGTTCCACAACCTGGGCTCCCTTCCCCGGCATCCAAGGCAGACCGGGAAAGGTACTTCAAATCGCCAACGGTCACAGTCTCGTCAGCTGGGACCTCAATACCGGGTCTGTCGTGCCCCTTTAATCCTGCCCCGAGCTTGCTCCACAGCCTAATATAGAGAGGCTGTGTTTCCATTGTCCTCTCTGCCTCATCCACGTTGCTGTGCCACCTCTGTAGCAAACCGACTCTCTCCAAAAGTGCCGCTTCCATTACGGTGCTCGTATGCATTTCCATTCTAGGTTATTTTCTGTGACCTGGGTTGTGTGTAAGCAGACATTCCTTAGGGCTAGCGTGATCCTGCTTGAACAAACTCGCAGTTGTCTATAAATCGGATCCGTCCCGACAAAGACGTAGACACGGTGTACTCACCAAACGATGGGTCGGCTTTCTAAGAGGTAAGGGCTATAAGTAGGCTTAGAAATCCTAGAAACACATCTAGTGCCTTGAGAACCGGATTAGGTTTGCTAGATGTGTAAGTGAACTTTTGGAACTGCTGAAAGATACGATATATGAGCTGTAGTTGTATATTCACTTAATCTACCAACTGTATGAGTGAGGAGGGAGGTCCTTCTTATATATACATTCCATGCCAAGATACCATGTACTGTACCTGAGAGTAGTCCCTTGACCACTCATTGCAACAGGAACGACTGTTCCTCGATTGCCACTTTCATATTTAATAAAAACATTTTATCAATAAACTTCAACCATCCCTACTATTAATATATATCTTATATCTATTAATAAAAGGTTATTACGTATTGTTTTAATACGCGGACCGATTTGCAACTTTATCTGCTTATCTCCTTAATTGCTAACCCGCGGCAGTACATTGCCTCGTATAAATTGGCTAGTTAATTCTTAATAGAAGCTGAGCACATATGATTCATCGAAAAGCTACCCGTAGGCGGCATAAAAACCCGTCCGACGGCACCGGAGTTTACTCGATCGGGATAGCCGTTCGCGTTTGTTACCTAGCTTGAGCCCGCAAGTAGGTAATCATAAACTCTAGTTCTTTAACCGTCTTCTTGTGGCGCCTGCGGGGTGTCCTACTGTTATTAAAATATTTGCTGTCTACAGGGTAAACATTCTTTGCTCCTCAATCATCATAATTTCAACGCCAATCACCTAAACTCTCAATCATTTCATGCATCTCTGGGCCTCTTCTAAAAATATTGAATCAACGCCATTACGAGCAATCTTCAGTCATGTCGTCTCGACATTTACAGTATGCGGGAGCCATCAGCATCATCCCCTGTGGAGGGCTCCTACTAGTAGCACTGGCGGCGTGTGGATTTCTTCCTCCAATTTCACCCTCTTGGGATGCCACGCAAACGGCCCAACATTACCGTGATCATCAAAAAGGTATTCGAGCCGGAGCAGCACTTATGATAATCTCAAGTCTATTTTACGTTCCTTATACACTAGTCGTTTCGGCCCAGATGCAACGTATCCCCAATTTGCACCCCGTCATTATATCCATCCAGTCAGCAGCAGGGAGTACTTCAATGTATACCTTGATGATATCCGGTTTGCTTCTGGCTATCAACGCCTACCGCCTTGATCGCTCGGTAGAAATAACACAGATGATGAATGATATGTTTTGGTTCGTTTGGGTTTCGACATGGCCAACTTTCATAGTACAGTTCATTGCTTTTGCATCTGCTGTCATCGTCGACCGCCGCCCCCAGCCTCTTTTCCCTAAACCACTTGCAATATTCAACATTTTCGTCTCCATTATCGCCATCCCGGGAAATGTTTCCGCACACTGCGTCAAGACCGGACCGTTGGCCTGGAACGGTGCTATGGGTTTCTGGACCCCGGGTATGTCCTGGGTGGTCCTAGCTGCGGCCGAATTCGTTTGCTTGATTCGAGCCATATCCACAGAGACAACATCTGGCGAGGTGATTGCTTGTACGAGCCCTGATGGTTCAGGAAATGGTCCAAGCAGTGGATTTGGTCAAGGCGGGGGTTCAATCGGCGACGCATCAGCTTAGAACTCGACACAGCTATTCACCCGATACACTAGCCAGGAGTCAGTAGGATCAGAATATTCGACGTCTTTCTCTCGAAAACGATTGGAGTTGGCTTATGGACGCTAAGAACGAGCGAAGAACACATGGATGTGCAACGTGGACAATCTCATCACTCTCATTTCCTCTCCTTCCAGAGTGCTTTCAAGTCATGGCCAGGTACCAGCCACAACGGCTTGATGACGGTGTCAGGTAATCTATTTAATAATACTTCTTACAATTCCTCGTATCAAATTCATGTCAGTCATAGCTTCATGTAACAGTTATGCCGCTTCCGCGTAGCTACTCGCAAGACAAATAGACATGATTTCGTGCGTCTGTTTATTTCTATCCTTTGTTCCTGTTAAGATCAAGCCCGTCATTCAGAGCGGATACGGTATGACACTGCCTGGAAGACAACAGTCATTATACTGCTGTCCTGCAGGTAACAGTATTTCAAAGTATTTAGTTTTGTATAGTTCTACGCTTCTCTATAGCAAATAAAAGTCTCTCGCTCACTAAGGCCCTTCAAGGTTCGAGCGTTGAAGTCATTTCAAGGTCAAGGGTGTTGAAAGAGTAGCCGTTGCATTGGTGTGGCTATTCATTCATTCGTGTATTTCGCCCGATGCCCTACCCCGGAGCAACTGATATCTGCTTAAATACATGACACGTCTAAAGCGTTATCTTATTTTCGCTTAAGCCTTTACTGTTTCGTTATCAGTCAGATTTGCCCTTTCCCTATGCCCTAGATTGTTCCTACATGTCCTCATGAGAGTTTTCGACGAAGCAGGTCTACCCGAAGGTCAATTATTCCAGGCCCAAGTCTCTTTCAGCTGAAGCGAAAATGGCTGGAGGAGTGGGTCCACTGCATGGCAGCGGAATGGCACAGCAGGACGGCCCGTACCTAGCGGCGGAATGGTGGGTCTGACAGCCTGCACGGTTAATGCTTTAACGTCATCGGAAAGTGTGGTTAAGTCTTAGACAAGTATTTGCACAATGTCACCATGTACAATAACATATAATTTTATGACCAATCGCGGCCATCCCTTTAAGTGAGACGTCCTGTTTTATTGATTCCAGCTTTCTCACTTCGTTGATTCTAGGATAAGTGCAGCCTTCCGAGACGATAATTCAATGCAAGGCGGCTGGATGGATATAGACAACCCGTGTTGAAAAGGAGCGCCAAGAGTCCAAATGGACAGCTGAACTAACCGGCCAGACGAAGTTTGGCATTAAAGATAAGCTGACTTTAAGCATTTCGGTGGCGACTAACTGCAGATTTAATAGTCTGCAAGTTATATGCAACACATCGAATACTACTACGTTTATGCAATGCATCAAATATTTACTGCAGCTTTTACCGTTTGCAAGTAGTTACATAGGTATGTACCTAAAGTAAGACCGTTGTCCACTAATCATCAATAAATACGCCGAGGAGTATAAGTATCATTTTCTATGTATGTACCTAATTAAGGCCTTTTAACGGCGGACGATAAATAGTGTAACCAAAAATGCGCGGCCCTTAACGACAGCTATGGCAATGGCCTTCTCTAGTCCACATGACGTCCTAGATCAGTTTGATCTGCAAAGTCACACCCCAATCAATATTGTTCAAGGGGCACGCGCGCAGCTATTCTCCGAAGCAATCCCGCCATGTGAATCGCCCAGTTTTCCCAGGTAATGCCAGCCAGTCTCAACCATTAAGCCTACAAACCTGCTCGCGCGCCGGAGAGTGGAGGCCTTCAACGACAAACCAACGGTGTTCAGTGCATTCTGCCAATTGCCTAGTAATTTGAAGAAATGAGATGGATAGAAAGAGGTTATGGGATAGCAAAAAGTTGATAGAATGGATAGAAAAGAAAACGCATAGCTTCCCAGAACCGAGATTCTGCATAAGATGTGACAGTATCATTTAGCAGCCTCCGACCTGGCTCTGCCCGTAACCTTCACCATGATTTCTCCGCGCCAGGAGCCCGTATCCTTAGACTTCTTGGGATAGGCAACGAAGCGATCATGGTGGATCTCCACACTTTCCATCGTAGTCTTATATAAATCCATATCAAAGGTACTGACAAGTCTTGCGATGGTGATGTGAATCTCTGCGGATACCAGTCTGAGGCATAGTGAGCTAGTGCGTTGCCAGATGGCCGTAAAAATAAGTCAATGGAGAATTGAATGCTACTACTTACGGAATGCCAATACATTGCCTGGTACCTTTGGTGAAGTTGACAAGGTACTTGTGCAATGGAAAGTTTTCTTCTGCCGCCTTGATCCACCGACCTGGATCGAAAGAGTCGGGATTCGGGTAGATCTCAGGATCATTATGAACAAAATAGGCTGACTGGCTGACGGGAGTCTATGAAAGTATCAGGTATGACCATTCTCTGGCACAATGCTGTGTGCTTACCCCTCTTGGGATGATATATTCGTGGTATTGCAACGGTTCATCCACAGAGACGCGGGGAAGGCGACCCACGGGACTCGATAAGCGCAAGCTTTCTTGGACAACGCCAGCCTGTTTGCAAGGTCAGCCTACTCTGTTGCTGTTCTTCGAAAGCTCTAGATTAAAACCTACCAAGTATGGAAGACGCTCAAGTTGTGACATGGGGTACTCATTTTCTGGTTGAAATGGCAGTGTACTTAACTCGTCGCGCAGCTTCTTTAAACCTGTCTTGTCATTTAGGAGATAAAACATCCCAACACTTATTGCTCTTGCAGTTGTTTCAGCGCCGGCCAGAAGAAATATTTCGCCTTCGTCCAACAAGCGATTAATCTCTCTGTCTGCGGGTGGAATGTTCTCGTTTCCAAGGGCTGATACAATGATCGACTTCGACTCTTTTTTATTTTCTTCATCTAAACACGAAAGAATATCGTGCTTCACCTTTTCCCGCCAGACCAGTGGCTCTGCAACTTGCGGGAGAACCATGCTTAAAATTGGAATCGGTATCTTCTTAATAATGGATACTAGGCCCGGCAGGGATCGGGTAAAATGGAAGTTGAGTGCCAAACCAAGGATAGCTCTGTTTAGCATGTTGTCGAAGTCTGGAGCACTAAGGAAATCGGAGTGCTCGCCGTAAAAACGTTGAGTAATGATATCCCCCGTCATTGCCAAGATGGCCGCGCTGAGATCAAACTCCTTCGTTGTGTTCATGGCGACTTCAATGCGCTCGCATAATTTGCCAACTCTTTCGTGTATCATTGGCTCCATGGAAAGGATTGAATGTTTGGAGAAGTAGGGCTGAAGGTAGCTGCGTCGCGCTTTATGTTGCTGGTGGTCTACAGTTGCAACAATAGATGATGGAGCTGCGAATATTGCGACAGTTCCAGCATCCTTATTAATTTTTCGACCACCAGCCGAGTATATAGTATTGTAGAATTGTGAATCGCGAATATGTAGCTGGTTCGCACTGATTCGAACGATAGGTCCTTTGGATACGGCAATCAGTACTCATTCTCAACTATTCAAAAGGCAGCAAGTCGACCGCATTCGTACCATATATCTCATGCATCCTTGCAATTTCCCATAGATACTGGCCATCTTTAATCACGTCGAACCAGAACTCATAGTAGCTACCAATGGCTGCAAGTTTGGGGCCAGGGAAACGGCTCAACGGGTGTAAATATAAGTTGTAGAAGCATTTGATAAGAAAGAACACTATGGGAACTGCCGAGGCAATCCACCACGCATAAGACTGGTTCCTCTCCATGTTGGTAATGGAATCAAACATGGCTGGGGTGCTTGTTAAGGTGGTGACAAATAATGGGCTGGTAGGCTTGTTTAGTTTATGGACGGTGTATGTCGGTAAACTGGCAGTGATTTTTAAATATAATTAATTTTTTCGAAAAAGTATCACGTTTAAACTTTTTATATTATATAAAGAAATTAATAAAAAAATTAATAAAAAAATACATTATAAAATATATTATAAAATATATAATTTTATTAATTCTTTATGCTCAAACGGGTTTATTTCACTTTATACCTACAAGAGGCAACCCTGCTGGCTTGCACAATAGCCCTGAGTTTACGAACAGGCCAAGCAATTGATTTGATTGGTTAAATCCTTAAGTGGCCGCCCAACCTCGCCGCGCCGGGGGTTACGGGCGCTCGGCACGTGCTTCGCACGTATCTCGCACCCGTGACCCCCGCGCGGCTCGGCGGGCGGCCACATAAGCCATACAACAAGCCACCTAACCATACACAACCCCCCTTAGCCACACCACATCCCAAGATTAGGTCCACGGTTCGAATCCTCGACCTTGTATCCCTTCGCATCCCTTCTTTTCTTTTACGCATTACTACGCAAGCAAAAGCGCGGCGTTTTGCGCGCTACGCTTTTACCTGCTTTATAAGCGGGTTAAGCTCCGCGGTTCGGCTTCGCCAAACCGCTCCGTTAACCTTTTGTTGGCGTTATTGCAGCCGAAAGCCGCAAGCCGTAACAACGCCAGGCCAAAAGCCTTATAGCTAATTACGTAGCTGTGGCTAATCACGTAGCTATAGCAGGTTAGGTATGTGGTAGTAACTAGTCCAATCCCCATTATATAAGCAGTTTTTGTCGAAATCTCGACCAAATCCACTTTATTTTAAGATACACCCAATCAAATCTCGACTAAAGTCCACTTTATTTCAGAATGCACCCAATTAACATAGGTAAAAATAACCAGGACACTTCTATTTATAGTAATTTTTTCAAAATAGGAAAATGGATCAAACTCCCATAGAAAAAAAAAAAACGCAACACACACAATAACCTTTCGTAAACTTAAAGCATAGTCCTTTAACTAGCTCGCCCCACGGGTACCTAACCCACTCGTTAAACTTTGGCCTGATACCATACTAGTATTAAACCGACGGGCAAGGGGGGTTTAAGCCTAACCATTCCATAGGCAAGGCCATCTGCCACCATGGATATGGATAAGCCGAACATGGTCTGTACAATGAATGAATCCTATCAAATCCTCGTGCTCTAACCATCATTTGATTTGCCCGGTGTTGTGGTGTAACGTATGTGGTGTCGTAGGGAAGAACTGAGTGCAAATCGTCAAAATCACAAAGTTGTGTCCAAACTCGAATATGGCCGACAGCATCTCCTCCCAGTGGAATTCCTTGGAATCTAGCCACGATTGTGCCCACTCCCTCCTCCAGAGTATTGAGCCAGTTGAAAACGCCCGGGTCGATTCCACTCAGAACAAAGGTATATGAACCATTCTTGTTAACGGCCGCCTGTCTGTTATTCAAGCTTATTAGCCTGTCTCGTGGATCATCACTAGCTATCCACAGACTGTATATATTGAGAGTCCAGTAAGTTGAGGGTTCAGCTTCAACAGTTACTATTAGGGCCGAAGTTTTGCTCAAGTTATAGTGCGATAACACAAGTGCCTGGGTGGCCAAACCCATTCCCGACGATTGAGATGGGGAAGCCATGGAATTGACGGGTTTAGATAATGTTAGATTTCCGAGAACAAAGTTTAGAGGGGGGATGGTTTTCCGTAGATATTCTCTAGCTTGTGCAATAATGGTGTCGTTTGTTCGGTCTCCTGTGAAGGACTGTCCAACCAGCTCTACCTCGAGCTCGTCCGGATTTTCCAAAAGCCAGTCGCCGATGTTGTGGCGAATTAGAAGTAGCTTAGCCGCTGGCGTGCTTTGCATATGGTTTGGGGACGGAGAAGTACTTGGGTTGACGGTAATAGTGAAGGAACCGTCATGATCCACGACGAGGTCTTTCCCGGTTACAATAGAGATGGTGTTACTGGTGAGACTGCTCTGAAGCGAGAATGTAACGTCCGAGGCACCAACGCCGGTGCGCTTGCCGTGTATGATATAATTGTATGAATCGCTCACTGGGACAGTACGATAAATACAATCTGGGTTGTCGAATCCATATCGGCCGCCAGGAACCGGCAATTCCACCAAGTCCCTGGTTCGAGGAGGTGCCATTGTCCAGTAGACTTTCGGATGGGCGGGGTCGTTATTGACTGCATACTGCATGGAGCCGAAAGCCAGCTCTTCCACAGCGACTTCAAGCCGGCGTATCAAATCCTTTGAGTCAACTTCATAGCCATAGCGTTGAGCTGTTGACAAGAACTGGTTTCGTGCTTCCCGTTTAATGTCTTCGTATGGATTTTGCAGGTGAAGTGAAATGGCAAGGGCATCGAGATCATGCTGATCTTTTGTATCAAGCGGATTGTGTCTGGCAAATGTTGTAGCACACAGCATAGTAATAAAAATTCGCCATGGATGAGTCATCGCTTCCAGATATGTGATTTTTCTTTGGCGCAACGTTGCCAGCTAGATGTTGGAGTATTGGTAAACGAACAGAGACGAGCGAAGCGCACACAGATCGGTTGCCTTTGGGTATGGCTGGTGGACCAACCTGTAATATTATTATACCTTTGTGTGTTCCAGACTACGACATGATCCAAGCTTAGCTACGGTACCAGGCCGATACCGTTATTTACTTGCAGAGATTATAATTGAGATATGTTCATGTTGTGCCACACGCCATCGTCGGGAGACATGGCTGCCTGAGGTAAGATAAGAACGATAAATATTGTTAGATTGACGCCTTAGGGTGAATTATCGGGGCCGGTCAATTCGGGAGAGCGAGCATTGTCTTCTTGCGGGGAACGCCCAGTATCTAATACCCAGCTTGGTATTATCCTGGAGAGTACCAGTACTTAGATGTGAGAGCCCAAGCCGAGCCATACCAGTCTTAACTCGTTGCAGTTTTTATGCCTGCTTCTCGCTTACTTCTTGAAAAGATGATACATTCGTTGCTGCCACACCGAATTTGGTTTTATGAATACCTATAGTGTTTACTTCGTGGCCTACTCTCATTGGATGATAGAGAAAAGCTACTTGACATATGACGTGACAATGTACCTGTAGCCTTCTACTACGCCTCCATTCCAACGATATACTTCAATGATGACCGGTGCTGGTCAGAGATTGCATCTTCTCTAGAAGCACCACTTCCTTGTTCTAAGCGACCCTTACCAGAGATAGCTTTCTGAAGGTGGATTATCAAGGCAGCCCACAATGGCACAGTTCCTAGCACTACATGGCTTTATCATTGCCATATTGTGTGTGGTCGCTTGTTGTCGACTATGCTCCCGAAAGAGAACTGGCTCAAGCCTTCCTCCAGGACCAAAACCACTTCCTATCGTCGGCAATCTCATGGACCTACCTCCAAAAGGAGTGCCAGAGTTTCAGCACTGGCTCAAGCATAGAGAAACTTACGGTCCGATCAGCTCTATCACGATCATGGGTCAGACACTCGTCATTTGCCATGACAAACAGGCCGCCCACGATCTAATGGAGAAGCGCTCAAAACTCTGCTCAGGACGGCCAAAGACGGAGTTCGCGAATAACTTGTGCGGCTATGGCGACTGGTTAGTAATGCAGCAGGACAACGATAAACTCCGCCGGTGTCGCAAGCTTGTGCATCAGCAGCTAGGTACTAAGGCACTGGTGGCCGAGTTCTATAACGTTCAAGAAGCGGAGGTGTGCCGATTTTTATTTCGGGTCTTGAATCAACCTGAGAATTTAATCAAACACTTGAAAACGTAAGCTTGATCATTTTTCGTTTGAGGTGAGGAAGAAGAGAGTAAAATCAATTCCGACTCACATAAATTACCTATCCATCCCGCTAACATATAATTGGTCACAGCAAAACCAGCGCCATGATATCGAAAATCGTCTACGGATATACTATCGAGCCAAACAAGGCTGACCCCTTGGTCGACTTGGTAGATCTTAATATGGCTAACGCTCAACGTGCCACAATACCGATGGCATGGTTGGTAGATGCCATTCCGGCCCTCAATTATCTGCCCACTGGATTCCCAGGCACAGGATTTAAAAAGACAGCGCGTCTCTTTAATAAGATCAATCAGATGGCAACAGAAGTTCCATTCGCGTTCGTTCAGCGCCAGATTGCGATTGGTAGCCACCGGCCGTCGTTCGTAGCTAATCTAGTCCAACAGGCCAAGGACGGTGATGTAGGAGGTGCTAATTTGGACCGCGATAAGGACGACATCAAATGGACAGCTGCAATGTTATACAATGGAGGGTTAGATACTACAGTAGCACTATTAAGTGGCTTTTTTTTAGCTTTGGTCATGTTCCCTCAGGTGCAGTGCAAGGCGCAAGAGGAGATTGACCGTGTAGTAGGTATCGAGCGGCTCCCCGGATTTCAAGACCGGGATAAGCTTCCTTATATTGAAGCTGTTGTTAAAGAGGCATTCCGGTGGTGGCCTTCTGCACCTTTAGGTTTTCCACATGTAGTCTCAGAGGACACTACATACAAAGGTCATTTCATACCAAAAGGAGCGACATTATTCCCGGGTATATGGTGGTTTTGCCATGATCCCGAAGTGTACGAGGAACCTACTGTCTTCAATCCCGATCGGTATTTAGAGCCGCGCAACGAACCTAGCCCTTATAACGAGATATTTGGTTACGGGCGTAGAGTCTGTCCTGGGCGGCATTTATCAGATTCAAGCGTGTTCTTAACCATTGCGCAAACTCTAGCGGTTTTTACTATTCGCAAGGTTCTCGATAAGGAGGGCAGGCAGACTGAGGTTAAGCTTGAGGCAACGCCTGGACTTATAAACCTCCCGGTAGAGTTCCCATACGAGATCCTGCCAAGGAGCATGAATCATGAGGATCTTATAAGGAGTTTGGAAGTCCAGCAGCCCTGGGAAGAGAGTGATGCTGGTCTCCTCGAGGATGTTAACCAGTGATCGGAATGATTTGGTTTAATGCTTTAAGTTTACGAAGGGTTATTATGTCGCGTTTTTTTTTTCTATGGGAGTTTAACCTACTTTCTTATTTTGAAAACATTACTGTAAATAGAAGTGTGTTAATTAAGTGCATTTTAGAATAAAGTAGGTTTTGGTCGAGATTTCGACGAAAGCTGCTTATGTAATACCTAGGGGCTGGACTAGGCATAGCCACATAACCTGCCACAGCCACGTAATTAGCCACAAGGCTCCTGGCCTAAAGTTGTTAGGCGTTGTTGCGGCTTCGGCCGTAACAACGCTAGGTAATAAGGGTTTAACGGGGCGTAATAATGCGTAAAAGAAGGGAAGGGGTGCGAGGTCGAGGATTCGAACCGTGGACCTGATCTTGGAATGGTGTGGCTAGGGGGGGTTGTGTGTGGTTACGTGGCTTGTTGTATGGCTTGTGTGGCCGCCCGCCGAGCCGCGCGGGGGTCACGGGTGCGAGATACATGCGAAGCACGTGCCGAGCGCCCGTAACCCCCGGCGCGGCGAGGCTGGGCGGCCACCGCGGCCTTGCGGGATTCAACCAATCAAATCAATTGCCTGGCCTGGCTTGTTCGTAAACTCAGGGCTATTGTGCAAGCCAGCAGGGTTGCCTCTTGTATTAAGAGTCTCAATATTAATATCAGATAATATAGTGATCCCTACAACTTCGTTCTAGTAATACATACTTACCAAGGGTAGAAGGGAGGCTCTTGACTTGCCTTCCAATAGGAACTCTCAAATTAAAAAGCAATAGCCGATATGCCCCTCAACAGATCTTCTAACCCCTGGGCAATATGTATATCAGTATTTGCGAATCGTACCATATGGGCTGATATGTACGAATTCGGCAATCGTGAAAAATACCCGCAAATGAACCGTACCCGGTGCAATTGAGGATTGATAAATCCTATCGTGGTATCGCCTTTGTCACAGAAGGTAACTTATATAAATCCACATCTAGCAAGTCTCATCATCTAACTCGCGAGTGCGTTTCGTAGAGCCCGCCGTATTCCTATCCCTTTACAAACAATGTCGGAAGTCTTCGACGTAGTAATCGTTGGCGGGGGAACAGCCGGGCTCGCGCTCGCTGCTAGGCTATCCGAGGACCCCGGCTTGCAGATACTAGTCCTCGAGGCCGGCGAGGACTTAACCGAGGATCCTAGGGTCAGCACCCCCTTTTTGGGGAGTTCTCTCACCCGCAGCTCCGCCGATTGGCAGTTTAGGACTGTTCCTCAGGTATGTCGTATGAATTAGTGGTAGTTATGGTAATAACGTATGTAGGCTCATTAGTTACTACAGGTAGGACTGGGGAATCGGGAGACAATTGTTCCTCGTGGACGATTGCTAGGGGGCTGCAGCGCACTTGATAACTTTCTTTTCGCTGCGCCCTCTAGATACAACGTTAATGCCTGGGCTGATCTGGGTAATCCCGGTTGGGACTGGTCGTCCTTTTCCGATTCCTTGAGAAAAACGTATACGTTGACGAAGACTCCCGAGGAGGTGGATGTCAATGGTCCTCTCCAAGTTAGTTTCCCTGAAGATACCGAGTGGCTAAGAGTATGGAAGGCCACACTGGCCAATCTTGGATATCCTACATCTTTGGATTCCCTTTCTGGGGAGTTCTACGGAGCTTATCTGTCTGCCATAAGTGTTGATCCTGTCACCAAGCAGAGAAGCTACTCTGGCAACGCATACCTTCAGCGAGCACGACCACGGCCTAATCTGGTTGTTTATACTGAGACACATGTAGAGAAGGTCCTTTTTGATGGATCGAAACCTACCAAGGCGACTGGTGTCCAGTACAGCCAGGGAGGGATTACGAAGATAGCGACGGCTCGGAAAGAGGTCGTACTTAGTGCTGGCGCAATTAACTCTCCGAAGATACTTGAATTATCCGGCATCGGAGACGCGAAGCTCTTGAAATCACTCGGAATCAACGTGGTAGTCGATAACAAACATGTTGGTGAAAACCTCCAAAACCATCCTACGGTTGGTATGTGCTTCGAGGTCGTGGACCAGAAAGGCTTCGAGACGATGGATGGTATCTTACGGGGCGAAGCACCTGCTTTCGCCGCCGTCCAAGCAGATTACGAGAAACAGGTTGGATTCGGGACGAGAGGCAACCTCGAAGTCGCGGCACAACTGCCTGTGCCCGGAATCGAAACCCCTGAAGGGAAACGGGAGATCGAGAAAATACTAAGCAATAATAAGGGGCATCGAAACGACTCGGAAAAGACAACAGAAGCTTTTGTAAAAGCACACGAAAACTTGGTGAACTCGGTACTCGTCTCATCTACAGAGCCTTCAGCTACGTACCTCACAACCCCCGGCTTCGCAACCTACGCCGCCGACGGCACAATAGCCGGCCCACCTCCCGGTAACGAGAAATACTACTCCGCCACGATAACCCTCGCGTACCCTCTCTCCCGGGGCTCAGTACACATAACATCTCCATCTCCATCCACACCACCCTCCCCCTCCCCTCCCCCCGCCATCGACCCCAAAACCCTCTCCCACCCCCTCGACGTCGAGATCCTCGCGCGCCACGTGCACTTCCTCCACCAAACAATCACGACCACAAACCCACTCTCCAGCCATCTCGTCCCCAACGGGAAGCGCCACGCCCCCCCGCGCCCGGATCTCGAGTCCGCTCGGCGGTACGTGCGCGAGCGGGCGACGGGCTCGCCGCGCGATTTCTCGGGCACGTGTTCGATGATGGCGCGGGAGCTAGGCGGCGTCGTGGACGACCGGCTGCGGGTGTACGGGTGCGAGGGCCTGCGCGTGTGCGACGCGAGTGTTTTCCCCGTCGGCGTCGGCGCCGGCGCTGGGTCCGCGGCGAGCGTCTATGCGCTTGCGGAGCGGGCGGCGGGGATAATTAAAGCGGATTTGGGATCGACGTAGGTCTATGTACATAGGGTTACATACATACCTACATATCTACATAGTGCTATCGAGAGGATACCTAGAGGCAAAAGCTAGCGATGGCTTCTGGAAGCCCACTTTGGAGTCTTCTCCAAAAGGTTTATGTTATGGTATTGGGATTTGACTAACTAACTATTTCGAATCTTCGATGTGTTGCTAATTTAATATAATAAATATATTTGCCCTGCTTAAGTAGAGCTTGCCGTCCAAATTCGTGGTCTGGCCTTGTTCCTTTAAACCACTTTGACGTGGTCGTATGTAGACGAGTACCTAAGTAGTTAAGCATCGAGTTCCTCAAGATTTCACCTATACACCGTAATTCTTTACGTCGTCGAGACTATTCTTTATCAACCCCGGCTTCTTTCTACGGACGGGGACGCAATACTCCAACGGACGACTAGTTACGACTATAGCACGGAAAGCAGCCAATTAGATCCAGCGACGGTTTAGTATGTATATGCCTTTTACGGAATATATTTATCGTTCCGGCCAATCAGGCCAACAGGTTTTTAGATACCTAGGTACCTAGATAGATAATGGGATGAGAGTGGAACACGTCTTGTTATGCTATAGGAATTCAAGGACTGATGCGACAACAAGGAGTATCATATATTGCGATTAATGTGCAAGGTTAGGTAATTTTAGTATTTACTTGATTTTTAATATCCTCTGTGACCCGTCATACATGACAGGAGTGAAAACAAGTCTTCACTAATAAATACATAGGCTAGATGCGCTTGAGTGCATCTAATTCAACTCAATCAACTCCCAAGTCCGACGAGTCTTAACGAATAGCTAAGGACTCCCTGATATGAGACGTCTAAGGCTATCTTGGTATGAAACTCCAAAACGGTAAAGCCTCCAGGTACCTCATAGGTGTCCTTAACCCCTCAAGCTTCAAGTTTGGATACTGGAACCCCCTCCTCCCCTTCTCAGATAATCAGAGGCGGTGCTTAATAACCTGCTAGAATAATGGTGGTTATCGGTAGCTCTCCCCCTAGATATTAAGCGCTTCCCACAAAGTACTGGTGCAAGAACTAATAGTATCGATACTATAAGTCGCGTGCGTCTCTAAATCGGTATCTTAGTTTTCGACGAACAACACTCATGATGCCGAAACAGCCGAGTTCGACGAGAATAGCTTTGTAACCTGGTAAAACATGTCCTCGATCGGTGGCATCGCGAACGCCGGCGCAGTATCGAATAATTCTGAAAGTTTTTGTGGTGGAATAACAGCCGAATAAGCCTCGTCACCGTCCCCGTCAGCCGTGGCATCTGGCATGTCAACATCCATCTCATCTCCGCTTGCTAGCTCATCGTCTTGTCCAGAAAGTAATGCTAAAGAAGGCCTGTCTTCACGAGGCTCCTCGGTGTTCACTTGGTCAAGGTTGAGATCGACGAGTGGTTGGGCAAAGGCGAGGGATTTAGTATCCATGCCTTCGCTGATTGACCACAACTGGGCGGCGGAGTCGAGAACAAGGTAGCCACTAGACCCAACCGAGGCAACGACTGATGTGATAGGGTATGGGAACCTGTGAATTATCTCCGGTTCGCTTCGATCTGGAGAGAACACTGCCAGCTCGGAAGTGAGGAAGGGCGAACCTGGCTTGCCCCGTGAAACAGCCACCGCAAATGTCGAAGTCTTCTGGTCGACTGCCATATGCGTTAAGATAGCTGCGCCTGGGCCGAATGAATCCTCGTTTGTCCTCAGTTGAACGCCGTACAGTAGCTCGTCCGAGACCAAATCATACACTATGAGACGATCTGAAAGTACGATTAAACATGAAGACAGGACTTTGACATCGCGAATTTCCCCGGTTATTAATCCGTCAATCGAATTCCGAATCTTGCCAGACTCTGTATCGATGACGTGGATTGCCGAGCCATGGGCAGTTCCGATAGCACAGACTATGGTAGACCCATCCTCGGAGAAAGAAACTGCACCAGAGCCTCGTATGGAACTGCTAGTAGCTATTGCATCCGGACCGACTGGTTCCTCGTTTTCCTGAAGATATATGGTTCGGGAACATCCCCAGCTGTGTAGCTGGCGTCCTAGTTTGCCCTTGACCAGCACTCCGTCGCGTTGCCTGATTGTTGGCTCCCACAACCTAACAACTCCATCTTCACCGATAGTAGCAAAGCGATGCGCATGCGGATCCGCAGCCAGGCCGTAGACAGGCTCGCTTCGACCTGTGTAATGGGGTGCATTGATACGGGACACGAGCTCCAGACTCTGGTCTGCCGAAGAGGCGGCCCAAAACTTGAGGTACACCTCACGCCTTTCGGCAGGGGATCCTTCTAGAGAGTTGATATCCCGCGAAGGTGGCTGCCACTCGTCAGTAGTGGCAAGCCACTTCCCATCTGCTGAATATGCCATGCCAGTGACCCGGGGTTCCGTTATGGTGTAACCCTTAGCTGTCGTATTCACGTCTGTCGGGTTTGTCCTTGTCAAGGCTTGTTTTGAGATGCCCTGCAAGGTGGTGAGATCCACTGTTTGTATTAAAGGAGTAGAGGGGCCGCTCCCAGAGTGGCTTAATCGTTGCCCATTCCCTACGCAAAAATGAATCCGCGAGGGATCCACTGGGCTGGCTGCTGCCGGCGTCTTTAATAATCGATCGGGAGTATATTGGCCTATTCTTCTGACTAGGTCATCCTTGGAAAGCGGCTGTGGGGAAATGAGTGTCTGGATTCCAGATATATACGTTGTTGGCTTCATTTCCGCTGTCGATAAAACGATGACTGAATTATCATCCAAATGGAGGACGTATGCAGAACCGCGCTTCGAAACGACGATATTCTCGATTGTTGCAGAGAGATGGGGCAGGAAATCCATCTTCTGCGTGTCCAGCTGCCACAGGACCAGTGTCGATTCGGACCCTCCAGAAATGATGTAGTGGCCTACAACCTGAGTTAGAGATTTGTTATCAATATTTCAGAATGAGGATTCTTCATACCATCTCGTGACCATTTAATAGTATGAACAGCCTTGCGATGCCAGTGATACTTCCGGGGCTGAAGGGAGCCTCTGTGCCCCTTAGAGCTATGTAACCGACGGATTTGAGGTAAGATATCGTTATAGAAGAACACAGCTCCACGAGCACAGCCTACGACAATTTCTATTACGGGTTCATTACCAGCGTCCACTTGCGTCTTTCGATTGAGATGTATACGGTCCGTTGCTCGTACATCTAAGCACACAATCTCGTCGCTGCAGTCAAGGGTGAAGAACTCATATTCGAGTTCCCTGACGTGCTTGATCGATGAGGTCTTAAGTGTACCAAGGACAATGTTACGATCTGCTGATGCTATTAAAGCGTATCCGTTTCGAACAGAACGTAGATTTGAAATAGGCATAGCCTGCGTTAAGAGCGGATAGGAATTCTTGAACTTGGATCGGCGCACATCACAGGCGACGATCCGCCATTTCTTCTTATGTTCGATAGCAACCAACGGCACATCCCTGAACTCTGCGCCAAATTTGATATGTTCGACAGACATGTCAGATAGAAAGCTACATTGTAGCTTGTATAATGTCTCGGAACCTTGGCCGTTCGTCCAATCAATCAACCAGACATGACCATCAGACGAAGCAACCCATATAAGATTCGGCGAGCTTGGAGATATGCAAATGGACATGATCTGTCCCGGCACATTCTCCACATCGAGCTCTTCCAGCTGAATCTTGCGTATTAGAAGAGAATCCGCTGTCGAGTATACCTGAATGGAGGTGTTGTATGCAAGTATTAGATGCCTGATATTCATGTCAGCTCCTGACCTCGAAATCCTACCCATAGCTCCCAGGGTAGGCTCTATTCAACTCTTACTTCTCATCTTCCGTCAATATAGGGTCCACATCCATAATTCGGCCGCCCATTGGCTTTGAAACCTTCCAGGTCGACGAGTGGTCTCCATGTCTCTCTTCTTCTGTTCGGTGCCGTTTCTTCTCTAATTTAACAACGAAGCCGTCGGACCTCAGGATTGTGCTAGTCATATTGTCGTTTTTTTGGGGAAGTACTGCTGAGCCTTTTTCTTTACCCGTTATGGCGTTCTGTGAGTCTCGCTTCGGTCGTTTCCTTTTGCCGTGCTCGTCTACATCCCTTTTACGTTTGTTTGCACTAAGATCCTAAAAAAATAAAAGCTGTAGGTTAGCATGATTATATAAGCCTCTTCCTGGCGCAGCTTTTGCTTACTTCATTGACTGCTATGGGGGCCATTATGAAAGCGAATGCTATACCTGGCTCATTAGAAGGCAGCTTTTAAGCGTCGCCAAAATTGACAAACCAAAAGCAACAAAAAGTTCACGAGATTTTTTTGCGGGACAACGCGATAAGGCGATCCGATAAGAGAGTTTTGGTGGAGTTAGTCAGCTAGTGACTTAAGTGGCACGATCTACGTAAAATAAGTTGCTTGGCATTCATTTATCGATAACAAATTTCCATTCAACTTCTCTTTCGGCTTTCGCAATCTCGAGGTTTCTTTCACAGTCATTGGCCACACCATCTTCTTTTTCGCGACGGTCAACTACACATCGCGCTTTGAGCCACGACCCCTACAGAACGATTCCAACAACGATATTTACGATACTTTACGGGACGCATATTTCTGCTCAACAAAATGATTATTCCTATTCGATGCTTTTCCTGCGGGAAGGTAAGCGTTTGTTATTCTCCAGCTAGACTTGGTTTGTGTTGACCGAAGGACAACAGGTGACGGGAGACCTTTGGGAGAGATATCTCAAGCTCATCGATGACGGCGTCCCGGATGGGTTAGTGGCACTTGCTCTATATGTTGATGCATTATACTAACCGGTTCGAAAAGCGATGCTATGGACTCGCTAGGCTTGAAGCGATACTGCTGTCGCCGAATGGTCATGACCCACGTTGATCTCATCGAGAAGCTACTAAAGTAAGACCAAGCATATTTAGAGTCAAGTGAAATCTTTGAAAGCAGTGTTCTAACATGTACGTACGTAAGGTATACCCCTGACGGACGAAACGACAAGAAGATCCAACTACAGCAGCGATGAGTCTCGATCGTCGGATGAGGTTTGATAGCTTTGATGATGGAGATAATTGGCACTTGGCACAAAAATTGCATTCTATGGCGTTGGGCTGGCAGTTTCAGGATGGCGTAGCGAGACTGCTTAAGTGGCGTCACGACAGTTTAGACAGACTGCAATGTGAATTTATCTG